CTGCCGGGCGGGCCCCGACCCCGACCGAGAGCCCGGGAACCAGGCGCCCGCCCCCGTTGGGTCCCGCCGCTCGGCGCCGGGAGCCGATGGAAAAAGTCTCCACATGGCTCGGACCCGCCGGCTCGCGGCGGCGCCCGGAATCGCGCGCTCCCGGCCCACTCGCCCTGGGCACCACGGCTGCCTGGCCTCTCGAGTGACCCAGAGGGACGCCCGGGCCGAGGCCACTACCTGGGCCCCCGCAGACCCCAATTCAGACCCGAGCGCGGCACGCACCCAGCCCGTGCCCGACTTCGCGCCCAGGCAAGTTCGGGCGCCTCGGGCTGAGCGGGCGCGGCGGCCACGCAGCCAGCCCCCGGCAGCGTGGGGCACACGGCAGCCCCGGGCTTCCGCCGGCGAGCGGGGCCGAGCTGGCAGCGGGAGGTTCCGGGAAGTTGGTCTGCGAGCCTAGAGACCGGCAGAGCCCCACTGCGGGGCTGCTGAAGTTGTGCCGCTGGGGGAGGCGCGTCCCCTTCCCGGCTCGGCGAGGCGCGGGCGCCTTCACGCGCGTGGACCCCGGGACGCGCCTTCCCGGCCGGCTTTGTCCGGTGGAGCCGGGAAGAAAGGGACGAGCGTGGAGCTCGGGCGGGGAAACCGCGGTGGGGTGCAGCATCCACCTTGGCGGGGGTCCGCCTCCTCCGCGGAAGGACGTGGCCCACAAAGAGCCTGCGGCGGTCCCCGGAAAGTGGCTCTCCCGCCCCAGCCGCGGTCCGCTAGCCCGCCTTCCCGATGGGGGCGCTTTGTTCTCGGCCCCTGTAACCCTTTCCTGGGATCCGCCCCGCCGCGCCCGCCCGCACCGGCTGGGTCCTGGGCCGCCGCCAGGTGTCAGCGCCGGCCGCCGGGTGCTCAGCCACAGCCCCCGAGTGAGGTGCGGGCCCCGAGGGTCGTGCGGGCGGGGCGCTCTGGCCACCCCTGGGAGGTGGAGGGAGGTGCGGAGCGGGGCGCTTCCCTCCCGGAAGTGGCGGTTTCCCCCTCCACATCTGGACGGCCGGGCTGCCTGGCTGTGGCAGGAGGAGGCGCGCGGGTCCTGCGCTTTTGACGGGGCGCTCAGAGCGCTGCTGTCTTCTACTAGCATTTGCGCTGGCGATGGAAGCTGGCAGTTTCTGAGAGCTCTGGGGTCTGGATCCCAGTCCAGGCGGGCACTGCCGCACCCTAAGTGACTTGTTCTCAAGTTCCAAGAGGGGTCTTTCCCACGAGTCTGGAGGAGCGGGGAGTGCTATGGTTTCTGTCTTCAGTTCACTCCTGGCTTTCAGGTCCAACATGTAGCTCTGGAGGATTGTGGTTTTCCTGGGACTCAGACTACGCCTGCAATCCTAGTTCCCACTCTGGGGGAGAGAGGGAGCTGCCCCCACGCGCCTGCTTTACCCGTCTGGCATTACCTCCTGCTCCACTCTCCAGGCCCAAGACGGGGCCGCCCTGGGGCCCCGGAGGTGGGGTATGGCACCTGCTTCCAGCTGCGGTCCAGAGAGGTGCTGGCTGCCCTCTGCCTGCCTTGGGAGAGGCAGACATTCCTGGGAACCCAGGTCCGTGGGGGCCGCCTTTGAGGGCCAGGCAGCTGGCAGCAGCCTCTCTGAGTTTCTGTTTCCTGGGGTTTTCTGCGTGCTGGACAGGAGCAGATGCTGCAGGAGGACACACTGTATCTGGCCCAGAAACTTTGACACTGTAGGGAGACACGAGGCTGCCTCTGGTGGGGAAGGAGGGAGGGAAAGTCCAGAGCTGGGAAGGCCTTCTGGAGGTGGGGGCTTCGGAGCCCCAGACACTGCCTGAGCTCTGGGAACGACTCCATCATGGAGCTTTGGTGTTCTTTTTGCTCTGTTTTATAAAGTTTAGTTTGTTTTTCCTCAGCCTTGCCCTCTTCGTTTTATAGCGAATGTCTGTGTTTGGTTAAAAGTGGGGACATGACATGGCATAAAGTACCTTCCCAGGGGCCCTTCTTCTTTCCTAAGAGAAGTAGGGCACTGGGACTTGCTGGAAACAGGTGAAGGTGCCCCAACGTTGTGGAGATCTGGCCCTCCCTGCAGGCTGACTTTGGCTCCCGTGGGAAGCGGGTCACAACCCTCCTGGGACCAGCGAAGTAGGGAGTGCCTACTTGCTGGGTCCTGGCTGTGAATGGATCAGGGGAGCCAGCTGGGACAGGAACTTGCTCAAATCCGCTCCCCAGAGACTGAAACAGGTTTGTCTAAAGAGTGTCTGTATGTTTCCCGAGGCCTTTTGTTTCCACCGAGTCAGAAAAATGGCCTGTCCTGGAATTTGCTTTTTTTTCTCTTCTCCTGCTTGAAAGGCCTAAAATCCCTTCTCCCTTAATTATGCAGACTAGTAGAGACGTTTCCCTCAGCCTCCGCCTGCCTGCCCAGCTCAGCCTTCCAGAGGTGAGGTCACTGCTGGCTTTGGCTCCCCGGGGAGGTGGAGGGTGTGAGTCTCTACCTGTGGCTCTTGATAGGTTCCAGTGGAACCTCATTAATGCACCTTGGCGGGGAGGCCTAGGAAGGAGAGGGCCTGGACAAAGGAGCCGGGAAAGGCTTCGTTTCTGCAGTTTTTATAGAAAGATCTTTTCTGTTGTGGCAGAGTTTTAGATTCCTGAAATCTCTTAAGAGTGAGGTGTCCTTGGTGTTCAGGCTTTTTCCGTGAGTTAAGAATCTGTAGTAACTTGCAAAGTATTCTTACTGTGGGCAGGACTCTCAGATATTTATTTCCCTTCCTTTATCAACAACAGCAACAAAATGCTAGACATAGTTTAGTCTCTGGATGCCGAGGCTGCGAGCATTGTGCCCCATGGCCCCTGTTGCTCCATTTTGAGTTCTGATCTGCCTTTTGCTTTTCTACCCGTCAGATTTCCAGAAGTGACCTTTGTGTGCCTGAAGTAGCAGCTTTTCTGTTCAGTTCCACTTTGTTGCTTTCTCTGGCAGTACTGAGACGCTAATGGTCTTGGTTCAAATCATTTCTAAAGGGGGCTGGGGATTTAGCTTAGCAGCACAGCGCCTGCCTGGCAAGCGCGAGGTCGTGAGTTTGATTCCCAATACCGGGAAAAAACCAAAAACAAATTATTTCTAAAATAAGAGCTGTAGACTGAGTGTGGTTCTTGCCCATGAGTGGCTTTTTGACCAAGTCCTCACGTGGATTTGGTCTTTTGTGGGCCTCAGCTTGAACCTCTGTGAGGTGCTGAGGAGAAATACACAAAGAAGATTTGCTGTCATTCTGTGCACTGTGCTCACCGCTAGACCTAGAGTAACAAAGAGATACCAACTGAGCGAGGCACGTAGGAGCCCTCTTCTGGGACAGGCTGTGCAGGGTCCTGGGGAAAGCCACTGGAGGAACCCTGTTCCTATTGCCTCAGCCAGGTTGGTCTGTAGGTACAGGGACAGTCTAGATAGCCTGGCCTGCCTAGCCCACTCTACGTCCTGATGAGCAAGGTCCCTCGTTCTTAACCCTTGACTGTGACCCTTCGCTTTGGTCCTGTCTCTGTCTCCTCACCATATGTTTTATTTGAGTTTTAGTTCACCTTTCTATATGATCTGCACCCACACTTCACAGACCAGAAACAGCTTTGGATCAGTAGAGCCACAGGATGGAGTCTCAACTCTGCCACTAGTTTACTGCATAATCTCTAGTGAGTCACCTTAGTTCCAAGTCTGTTGTCCTCATCTTCGAAAAAGACAACGTAATACCTGTTCTCCCTGCTCCATTCTGTCATTTGCCTATTCATTTCATAATGGATGTGTGAAAGTGCTTTGTGATGAAAGCACCAAGGAAAGTTAGCTGTTGATACAATTAAGATTAGCTTTTATCGAGTGCCTGTTATCGCATTCTGGGTTCTTTTCCTACATTCTTATTTAATGTTTCCCTGAAACCTTTATGATACACATCATTCATTACCCTGTTGTTTTGGCTGAGGAAGCAACAGCCTACAGAGCTGAGCCCCTCCAAGGAGCAGCAGCAGTGGAACGAGGACTCAGTATAGTGTGCGTACGTGTGTGTGTGTGAGGTGTCACCTGCTCTGAGAAGCCAGCACCTGGGGGCTGGCTGCATCCTCTGAATCCGTGGTGGGACTGCCTGGCCCATGGGGGTGAGCGTTTGGGTGGAGGGGGCTATTAAGCTGGACAGAGCTGGCGCAGTGCCTTTAGGCAAATTCTAAGCATTGGGCAATGCCCTAGGCGTCATCTAGATCTTCTCCCAGAGTGCTGAGATCAGGAGAAAGCGGGGTCCAGGAGAGCAGGGTGGGAATCTGTCTGGGGCCTCACACAGCCCCCAATGGGTGCCAGGTAGGCTGTTAGGACAGCGCCCTCACCCCTGCCCTGCATGGCACCCAGGACACACCATCTTTTATCCGTGGGCACCAGGGAAGCACTTGTAAGACTGGGAGACCCCTTTGTACGCCTAGGAGGTAGATATCATGGCCCAAGTGGGGTGATGGAACCCAGGATTCCTGTCTACCACCTGTACCCCCTGCTCCCCTGCCAGCCAGTAGAACTGTCATCAGATAATTACCTAGTCCTACAGGAAACAGATTTTTGATTGCTCCCCATCAGTTTTACAATTTTGGGTTGAAAGTTGCTCAGCCTCTGTCTACCTAGAAGAAAGTAAGTGGGGGGGAGGTCTATGGAAAGAGAGGTTTTTTTGGTTTGTGTTTCGGTTTTCTGAGATAGGGTCATGATATATAGTTTGGGCTGGTCTTAAACTCACTATGGCCCAGGCTGGCCTCAAACTCATGGCAATCCTCCTGCCTCAGCCTTCTTTCGAGTATTGGAATTACAGGTGTATGCCACCATGCCACAGCGGAAAGAGGGTTTTAGATGCCAGCATCCAGTACCCTGGAATAGAGTCAGCACAATGTCACTTCCCTCTCGTTCCAGGAGAGGCTGGATTTAGGGGGTGAATTCCGGAACCTTTTACTGAGTGACATGAATATCCTGTCGGGTGTAAGGGGAAGGGAGGGGAGGGAGGGAGGTTTGGGATGTAGGCCATCAAGACAAAGTTACAGAGAGGAGACCCTACAGTTTCCAGCTCCAGACAGGCATCGGAAGGCCCTGCTCACATTCAGAAGGCCCTCTGGAAGCTTACATCCAGGTGGCAGCTGGTGTGGAGAGGTCCCAGCATTCCCAGGGCCAGCATGGGCACCCCAGGTCAGCTCCCTGTGGTCACAGCTGGGGGAGTCCCGGGGAGGCGCAGGGCAGTGCAGGGCCCTGCTGCCTGTTGTGCCTGGTGTCTGAGGAGCCAGGAGGTCTACTGGTCTCCAAGCTGAGCAAGGCCAGGGAGTGTGTGGTGAGACCCCGGGGACATTGAGGCAGGAGAGGCAAAGGAGTGGTGAACCTGCTCCTTCACTCAATTATTTGCCCAGTAACTTCGAGCTCTGGATTCCAGATGTGTCCCCTCCTGCTCCTGGAGCCCCTCCAGGTCTTCAGCCTCCTGCTGTTTATGGCTTCGTGGGCTGCCTAATTATATGTAAAGGGTGGCTCCCTCTGGCCTCAAGCCCTGGGAAAAACTCCTCTGCCCGGTGACTCACCTGAGCTCACGTCCCTGTGAGAGGCTGAGTACGCACGCAGATGTGCAGGCTGTAGCCCCATGGGCCCTTGCCCGGCAGCTGGACAGCTGTCCCCTGTGGCTTTCCTGCGTGTCGGGCTGTGGCCTGGCTTTCGGGGAAACTGGTCAGCACCTGTTTGCAACTTCCTCCTCAGAAACCTGGAAGCTTTTTCCTTTCCCCTCCCTTTCTGGAGCTCTTTTCCCATTTTAAATGCAGCTCTGACTGTCTCTGTGTCCCTGGCATGAAAGTCTGTGCAAGTTTTTCCTACATAGGGGGGCAGCCGGACCCGTCCTTCCTAGTCCCAGCTTTGTCCCAGCTCTGTGTGGCTTGGCCAGGTCATTGCCCCTCTGGGTCACTTCCTGTCCAAGGACTTTCCTTCTTCAAGTCTGAGAGCTGTGTGGTTGCAGAACCCTTGTCCTGGGGAAGACTACAGTGACAGTGAAGGACTCCACAACCCTCTGCCGTTGTCCCCTGGGGACTCACAGGAGCTGCACACAGGGGCTCTGTAGGGTGGACCATGCCAGTGGGGGGACTTGTCAGGTAACCTGGAGGGTGGGTTTGGTGCTCAGCGTGGGAACCAGAATGGACAGAGGCCGCTGGGCAAGGTCGGCCTGAGGGTGGTGCTGGGCGATGTTCCCTGCACACACCCAGGCCTCCTGGCACCTGCCCCAAGGTCCGCTCATCAGCAGGAATGAAAGCTGTGCTGGGCAGGTTGGGGCAGTGGGCAGGCGGGCGTGTCTATCACTGCACTCATCAGCTGAGTCATGGTGCCAGGCCCACAGGTCCTCCCCGAGACTCACCCACGCAGCCTGGACCCATGGAGCCTACTGTGTGCTGGGCACAAGGTGTGGGCCTTGCCTGGCATCACGGAGCCCATCTGTGACATGGGGAAGGGATGGGGAGATCATGATCTGGGGTGTTCGTGGCCACTGGTAGCAGTGTTGTGTGACTGGTGGCTGGAGTCCCTGCCTGGCTTCTGCTTCCCTGGGAGGATTCTGCCTCTGTGCTAGGGGTGGCTGAGCCGTACCTGACTTGTCCGGATCGAGATCTTGAGCACCTGCGGCGTTGCAACCCTAGGCAAAGTTCACATCTGGGGTACAGAGGAGACGGTGCCTGTCACTGCAGCCAGACTGGAGAACCAGAGGGGACACGAGTTCAGGTGCCTCCTATGTCTCACACGAAGCAGTCTCCAGTCAGGAACTTGGGTTGTCAGGCAGGACGGTGTTCGAACCTCAGGTGCATAGACTGCTCTCTGGCAAGGGAGGTATTTGGGTAGGGATCACTCTCATGGGGCTGCGAGAGCTGTCAGGAAGCCAGGCTGCTCCAGGGCCATGCTGGGTATCACGGTCCCTCAAGGCTGGTGAGAAAACCCTCGCAGCACAATGGCAGTAATTGGGATTTCTAATCCTTCCCACCAGGGACCACCTAGGGCATTCTACGGCCACCCGGACCCTCCCTGGATCCCTGTTTTCCCTTTGTAAGGGCCCGATCTGGGGACCTGAATCCTAGGGGCTAGGTGAGGGGGGCCCGGAACTGGCAGGCTGAAGAGATAGGATTCTAGGTCCAGGCCCAGGGTGGTGGTGGTAGGGTGTGGGAAGGGGGACAGGACTCCTACAGGCTCCTACTCTGCACACCCTGGCACAGTGGGTCTAGAGAGGCCGTTAGGACCTGAACTCCGGCCACCCTTACTGGGGATGGCTGTGGATGTGCCAGGGGCCTGACCTGGCCGGGCACTTCCTGTGTCTGTCCTGCACAGGGCCACCCCAGCTTCCCTATACCCCTGCACAGGAAGCTCTGGGCCTCTCGAGCCCATCTCCTGGGAGTGCTCGGGCGGACATGGCTGTCAGGTTCAGGCTCGCAGGGCCCCGGGCTGTGGGTTGTCTTAGCAGGCGCCGGGACTGCTGTGGGCTGACATGGCTCCAGCTCGTCCAGAGCCACCCACGGGTGCAGTACTGCTGTGGCAGTGACTGTGTCTCTTCCAGAATGGGTATAGGGGAGGATTGGGCCGGGACCCTCCCTGCCTTAACCCCATAGGCTCCAAGGGGCTGAGGCCTGGGGCATGAGCGCAGTGAGGTCCTGGGGCGAGTCCTGGCTGATGTACCCTCCCGAAAGACCTGAGCTCCGTGGGTGAGTCAGGGAGGGCTGGTATCCTGGCTCAGGGAATTGTCAGAACAGTTTCACCCCTAACAGACCCCTGTCTGGGGCTGGGTGGGCATGTTGAAGAACACTTATGATTCAGCCCCCTCCTGCATCCTCTGGCCAGAGAGAGAGCTTTTCTCAGAGTGCCTTTCCCACGGAAGGACAGCCGCCTGCTCCTGGATGCCAGGGTCTGCCCACCTTTAGGGTCACGCTCTGGGGTCCTGCAGCCTTGTGGCAGGGGAGGAGGGACCCTCTGGGTGTTGCTTTGGGTCCAGACCTGGGCTGGGGCAGAGAGAAGTGCTGGGTAGCGCCTTGTCCATGTGGATCACACGCATCTTCATCATTTCGTGTGCAGTGTAGGCGTGGCTCCACCTATTTCCATGCCTCAGTTTCCTCTTCTGTAAGATGAGGCTGTCGCATCCCGCCTGGGAGGGCTGTTGAGATTTCTTGCAGTCAGGCATGCGGTATCACTTGGACAAGTCTAGGGGCGTAGAGCTGGGCTGCTGTGCAGGAGCCCAGTGGCCATGGCCAGGAGGGTGGGCCAGTCTGTGTGAGTGGCCGGCTGGCCTGGCCCAGTGGAGCTGGCACACATGGCTTTTGCCTCTTCCCAGAACACTGAGCTGGCCACCAGACTTTGGTCTCTTTCTGAGCCTCTGCCCAAGGCTGCCCCCGACTTGAGCCCTGCAGGTTGGGCTGCCAGTCCTGGGAGGAGGCCAGGCAAACCCACACACCGGGCGCCGCAGTGGGGCCCAGGCTGCCCTGGGAGGAGTCAGGGCCTCTGTGGATGCCAGGCCATGGGTGGAGTGGGCCCGTTCTCTGGGCCACGTCATGCCTGAAGCCGTGTTCCGCTCAGAGTCGACAGCCCGTTGCTCCTCTGTGGAGCGGGCTGACAGCAGGCCAGCCAGAGAAAGGCTACTGGCCTCTCTTGGTGACCATGTGCTGGTAGTCGGGGACTGTGTCTGCCTCGTCATTCTCATCTGTACGGTGGGCTTGGAGATAGAAGCAATATGATTAAGAAGGTTAATTAATGCAGGGAGAGTGCTTCAGCCAGCACTGGCTCACACTCCTCAATCCACAGTAGCTGCTGCAGTGGTTTCTTGGTTTTTGTTTTTTTCCCTTTCAAGGCCTAATTTGGTGGTACTGTTCTTTACTGAACCCCAAGCCCATGGCAGATCCATAGGCTCTTCTGAGCCAAGGGGCTGCCCTGGCTGGGGTGGCTTGTGCAGTGGCCGCAGGGCGTAGCTCAGCCCTGGGCATAGAGGGCCATGCAGATCTCCCCACCCACTGGAGAAGGCCAAGCTGCTTTGCCCCAACCTGAGTGTGCTAGCCTCCACGACTGAGCTGTGTCTGCTGCTTAGGGAGAGGGGTGGGCCTGGTACCATGGGACCCTGTCAGGGCGCTGGGCCCTAAGCTTGCCAGCATTCCAGCCTTCCTAGTCCTAGTTGTGCTCTACCTATGAGGTGCCTTCCTGGCCCAGCCCTGTGTTTGTGTATGGGATAAAAGCTACAGACATCTGTGGCTCAAAGAGAGAGCAAAGGAAATTTAGTCTCTTTTCTGGGTACGGTGTTGTTGTCATCCACATTCTGACAAAGTTTTAAAAATTTCCTCTTGGTGTGTCACAGCCTCCCTGTGGTAATTCTTTCCCTCTGTCTATATCTCTTATCCAGCCCCAATGTCCCAATTCCAGAATTAGCCCCTCGCCCCATAGGGTGCTGATTTATGCTATAGTGTGAATCACTAGTACCCCTCAGCCTTCCTAGAAGCATTTTTATGTCAAGAGGCGATTGTGTAACTGCAGGGACCTAGAGAAAGAAGCCTTGGTGATAAAGTTGAAGTACCTGCTTCTGCCATACTTCCCACAGCTGGCTGGAGTCCTGGCTGGCTGCAGGTGTGTCGACAGCTGTGTTTCTGCCTTTGTGAAACTTGAGGGTACTTTATTTAGCCATTGAGGGGACGATGTCACTAGAAGTCCACGTGTTCCAGCCATCAGGCCGCTAAACCTGGTGGCATCGGGCATGCTGATGGGGAGGGTGCAGAGCTGATGTGGTAGACTCCCTGGGACAGTCAGGCTCAGGAGGGTGGGGCTCTGCGGGCCTCAGCTCCTGTGTCCCCAGGGGAACTGGTCACCATCCCCAAATCACCTTGGTTTGGGATGCCTCCAGCACACTTCCTGGGCCCCAACTCCTTGGAAGCCAAGAGAAGTGATAGTGAGGCAGTGGTAAGGTCCCCTTCCCTGCCTCGGCCTTCTTGCTGTCTGTGGACTGTCTCTGCCATGGCCCCTGCACCTGGGCCCTGGGGAGTAGAAGCTGCAGACCCTCTTGCCACTATTTGGCCAAACCCCACTGTATCACTGGGCAGCCTGAGGCAGGGATGCCCAAGGTCACCCCAATTGGTGAGGAACAGAGCTCAGACTGTCCTCGGTCCCTAGCGTGCCCCTTGTCTACCCTGCAGTGGTCAGTGCCTCAGGTCTTGTGGCCTAGACCCTTGCCGCTGCCTTCTGGGAGCAGCTCCAGTGGGAAGGCTGGCTGGGCGTGGGCCTAGCAGCCCTATTTCACCAAGGGCAAATGTGGCCTCCGTGGCCTGGCTGTGTCCGGGCCCGTGGGGAGCAGCACCATGGGCTGGCACAGAGGCTGGGATTGCCTAGGATCCTGTCCCCTGTGGACACCCTGCTGTTTCCAAGAATAGGAAGCACAAGGAGCGGGGTGCATGGGAAAGAGCCCTTGGGTTTCCTGTCTGATACCGCTAAATGGACAGTGCTGTCCTGAATAGGTCTTTAAAAATAAGCGGACAGGTGTCCACCCCACCTGGCCCAGAGTCCAGGGCCAGGAATGGCAGGGTAGGGGCTGCTGAGGTAGGGTGGGGTGTCCTGGGTGCCCTCTCACTGGGCCCCGCCCTAGGCCAGGCATCACTCCCTGCCTGTCACCCTCCCTTGGCAGGTCCTGGCTTGACTTGGTAGAGAGACGGTGAGCTGATAAATCACTGTGCCTCTCAGCTGGAAATACTGGCGGTGCCACCAGGGCCCGCCCTCCCAGAGTGGGGAGATTTTGGGGTGACTGGACACGGTGATTCTGGGGTGCCCTGGCCTCAGTAGCACCTTCCTGCCACTTTCAGTGAGGTCACCGGCAAAGCTGCTGATGGAGAGGTGCAGGGCTAGGGAGCCGAGGTTGTCCTGGGTCAGGTTGTCCTCGGCCTGGAAAGGGTCTCACCCAGCTCTAGGACGGACTGGATGGGCCTATAATACAGCACTCTTGCAGGCTGAGGAAGGAGGGTCACAAGTTCAAGCCCAGTCTGGGCCATTTAGCCAGACCCTCTCTCAAATTAAAAACAAAAAATTAAAAATGGGCTGAGAATGTAGGTCAGTGTGGAAGGCACTGAGTTAAATCCCCAGTACTGCAAAAACAAAGCAAAACAAAACCTCCAAAGAAACTGATTTCTAAGCACTGTGAATGTGTTTAATCCTTCCGAGTTTGCTTGCTGTAGCGTGGAATTCAGTAGACTGGGAGTGATGGGTGTTTGTCCTGGGGGACCACAGGGCCTTGTCCCTTTGATTTGGACCTGTCTGGGACCCCTCAACCCCTAGCCCAGAGTCAGTGCTGCCGCCTGGTATCCTGGCTGCTTAGGGAAGGCTGTGGCCCAGCTCCGCTGATAAAGACAGCTCTTTGTCCCTGCTTTTGTGACTAGGGGACTTGTTGACTCAGTGACTCGGCTCCTACCCACAGAAGCCAAGGGCTTTGTTACTGCACCAGGACAGGACAGGCAACCAACCCGGGTTTCACTAGCAGTGCAGAGGTTCCCAACGTTGCCTGGGTTCATGTCGTGGGGTGGCATCGTCTTTCCTTCTCCTGGGTCCAACCCAGTGCCCTCCTTAGGGTAGCCCTTTGTGCCCCAGCCTCTACAGCTCCCCCTTCCTGAAGCCACTGCTTGGATGTGCACCTGGGGTGGTCTCTGGTTAGGGAGGGGGCAGGAGCTCTGCCAGGGCCAAAGCCAGATGGTTTCTTATCCTGTTTTCTCCCCAACACCCGTGGAGGATGGTCCCAGACTATTTAAAGTTGAGCACCCTGTTGAATGTCAAAGTTCTGTGACTTCCTGACATTTAGACTACTTTGGTTGAAAAGGCAGTGTGATCCTGGAAGTCCATGACGCTTCTTTTTTGGCCAGGGAGCTGTGGCCTACTCATCACTTGAGCCAAGTAGCAGGTGATGCGTTAGTGTTTTGGGGTGCTGGTTGGACTTGGCTACAGGGTGAAGAGGTGGGGGAAGGGGGCAGTGCCTCTAGTTGGCACCTGAGTTTGCCATACACATTTGAACTTCTTGGAGATGCCTGCTTGATACCCTGACTTGCAACAGCTGAGGCCCTTCCATGCCCAGAGATGCCCTGGGGAAGGACTGCAGTTCAGCCCATCCTGCAGCCCTGGGTGGCCCAGGTGAGGGGCTTGCTCACACTAACATTGCCAAGGTGGGGCCCTCTTCTGGCCAGTGTGAGGCTGGGAGCTGCCTTCTAGAAGCTTCCATGCCAGCTCTCTGCCCAGACTCCAGATGTGCTCTTAGGTGTGACTGGCAGCAGGATGAAGAATTTCTCTCCCTGACACTGCTTTTTTTGGATCTCGCCTTGTCCTCTGCCCCTCAGAAGGGTGGGCAGGCTCCTGGCTGCTTCAGCTATGGGTGGGGCTTGGGATTCCTGCTCCAGGAAGCTCTCATCGCATAACTCCTGGAGCCTGTGGCCACACTGAAAAATCACACTGAACTCATCCTAAAACGGATGAGTTCAGCCATGGAGGTGGTACTGCGCTAGGGCTGGATGTGGGCGAAGGATGGCAGGGAGGTACGCACCAGAAGTGTAGATGCTGGCCGGCTGGGTTTCCGAGGCTGTGCTCCTTACCTGTCAGAGATGCAAATGTGAGCCCTGCCTGCTGTACCTGCAGGCAGTGGCAGGCATCAAAGAGTCAGGGGTGGAAAGTGTTTCTGGCGTTAGGGAAGCCCACACCTCAATCCCCTATCCTGCTGGGCCTCTCCGCAAGGTCCTTCCACGAAGCCCACTTGGCCAAGACAGAGCTGGCTGTTCACTCCTGGTTCCCTAGACTCCCCGTTTCACCCCATGAGGCCCCAGCCCCAGGAGAGACAACCTTCTGCCTTCGGGTTTTCAAATCCTTGAGCTTCTAGGGTCTGTGCTGTGGGTGGGGAAGGAGCCCATGCTTTGGAGAACAGAAGCCTTGAGGGTGGAGACCTTCCTTATCATGAGCTATTTGATTTGTTCTGTAGGCAGCTCGTTTTCTGGGGGCGTCAGAGGTACAAGGCTGGACTGGCTGAGCCCATTTGTCTCTGTGCAGCCCTTTGGAAAGACCCAGATCAGAGGTGACACTGGAGAGACCCCGTGAGGTCTTGGAGGCAGTTTGCTACATGCGGGAGCACAACAGCTGGCCAGCGTCCACACTGCTGGTGCGCACTTCTCTGCCATCCTTCACCCGCGTCCAGCCCTAGCACAGTACCACCTCTGACTGGGCCTCATGGGGGTGAAACAGGCCTGCAAAACTGGAAGTCACACCCTGAACTCCAGAGTCAACTGGCGCCTTGGTAGTAATCCAAGTTTGAATTTAGTAGTTTCTGCTAATTCCCTCCCCCAGCACCAAAATCTCTTTCCTCCTTTAAGATGCTATTGTGGAAGGTCTCAGCTGGAGGGGCTTGGGGGTTCATTCAGAGAGCTGCTCAGCTTCACGGAGACTGGGGGGGCTCAGAGAGGAGACTGGCTATCCCAGGCCAGGAGCTGGTCTGCCAGTTTCAGTGGAAAAAGCATTTGCTTAAGAGCTTGTTGTGTAAACAAGATCACACAGGGATAAGCCAAGCAGAGCTGAGGGAACAAATTGTTTCTAGGGCAGACCCAGTCTCTTATCAAGTCTTTGAGCAGCCCTGCTGTTGGGAAACTTAACCTGTTGGGGCTTCTCCTGTGGGTGATAGGCCAGCCTCAGGCCAGCCTCGGGCCAGCCTCACCGTGTTTCTGGCTTCAGGTTGGGCCCAGGCTCTAGCATGTCATTCTGGCCTTGGCTGTTTCTCTTGTTGAATGGGACAGCCTAGTCTCTGGTCTCTGGCTTCTGCACTCCATAAACAGTGCGTTTCAGGCCAGATCTCCCGCCTGGCATATGCCTTCTTTCCTAAGGGGGAGTGGGGGCATCGCATCAGAAGAGGCTGAGCGGATGTGATATGCGCCCTGCTCCGCATGGGAAGTTTTCGTTGTTGCTGAAGGCTGGGGTCTGCACAGGTATTTGAAGTCCTACTTGGGTGGTATAGACAGATGTGGCCTGATGTGGGACCAGGGGTGGACTTCCCTGTGGATGGGCCACAGTGGACTGTGGATGGGCTGTGAATGGTCCTTCTGGGGCCAGCACCTTTCTCTGGGGAAGGAGGCACAGTTTGGCTCTTGTGCTTTCGGAGGAAGTACAGCGCTATTTCTGGTTTTTCAGTTTTGCACACTCAAAGCAAGCCTCTGACTGGGCTCCTGGACGGAGACCTTCTGCCTGGTCCAATTCTGTCCAGAGGTTTCGTTTGTCACTTGCTGCTTTACTCCACTGCAGAGTGAGGCTGTGGCCCTGTGGCCCTGTGGCCTAGGGAGGCTTCGTGGAATGTAGCAACAGTCCTGCCCCAGTCCTGGAATGCAGATGTGCTATGGGCCCCATTTGCAGGTGGGGAGACTGGGGCCTTAAGAGGCTTAGAGGTGTCCTAGGGCCACTCCCCTAGCAAGTGGCGGGAGTCAGGGGAGTCTCTAAAGCCTCCTGTTAAACTGTGCCGTTCTTTGTCTTTACTCATTCTTTGTTCCAATTCCTGATGGGCCTGGACAGTTGTCAGAGCTGAGGTCTCACTGCCGAGCAGGACTCTCAGAGCTGCCCTCCCTGCCACCTGTTTGCTGGGTCCTCCCGCCCACACCTGCTACTCTGACTTCCAGACCCCCTCCATCCTGCTCTGCCTCCTTCCAGCTCCCAACTTCGGTCCTGCAGGACAGCCTGCCCCAGCACCCGGCTGTGTCTGCACTTGCACACCTGCAGCCTCTTGGAGCTGGGCTGGACAGGATGGGCCACATCCCTTCCCCGTTTGCTGGTACCCGCTTGGTGCAGAACCTCCTAGTGTGGCCTCCACCAAGCCCAGGTCAAGAGGTTCTCTGTCCCTCCTTGCCCTGTCCTTGCTGTGGTGAGGAAATGGGCCCTGAGGCCAGGCCTGGGGTTGCCCTGAGTTTAACCTCTCACCCATGCCAGCTGTGCTGCTGTGACCTCACCCCCGTGTCCGGCACAACTGGAGGCTACTACTCTGGGTTGGATAGTCCTGGAGTCGTTCTGGGAGTGCTTGAAAGCTCCCTGGTCAGGGCCCCTAAGACTCATTCTCAGCATAGGGGTGTCTGGTGTTCTAGTAACAGCCCGTGTGCTTTCTGAGAGGTCTGGGCTCCTGACCAGATTGAGTTCATCACGGCAGGGGCCCTGGCCTGTGTGGGCTGTTATTAGAGCTTCTGGGGTGCAGAGCTAAAGAGCTGCACAGAGCTGAGGCTCCCAGAGCTGGGGCAAGGGTGCCCTGCCTATGTCACCTGTGCTGTGCAGGGTAGGGGAGTCCATTTGGTTGTGCAGGACAGGCTCTGGCTCATACCCTTCTCTGATCCTTTTCAGCAAATTGTGGCCACAAATGTGCCTCCTGAAGACCAGGATGGCTCCGGGGATGACTCTGACAACTTCTCCGGCTCAGGCGCAGGTAAGGCTGACACAGCACCCCAGGACAGCAGTGGGTGGACGTGGCTGGCACTGGGTCAAGTGGTCTCCCTGTCCTCACCCAGCTGGGTTGGAAGGGCAGTGCTGAGGGAGGGTGTGGGGTACATGCTGCTAGCGGCTGCCTAGTTGAGGAGAAACCTCCAGGAAGAAGTGCAGGCCTGGACACACCTCTTCACTCACCGGGCAGCCTTTGGAACCAACCTTTGGCGGCCTGCCTGCCTTGTGTGAGCTTTTATGTTCCCATCTGGTTTTTGCTTGTTTGTTGTGAGGCAGGGTCTTGCTATGTAGTTTAAGGCATATGCAGGCCTTGAATTCACCATGTAGCCCAGGCTGCCCTCAAATTCATGGCAGTCCTCCTGCCTCCGCCTCCCGAGCGCTGGGATTACAGGCATGTGCCACCATGCTTGTCTACCACCTGTAAAATGGGGATAGTGCCCAGCCCATAGGTTAGGAGTAAGGTAGCACAGAGCCTGCTGGTGTAGACTTTCCATCTTTTCCCTTCCCACGTTCCCTGTGCCCTGTATGGGAGCTGATCAAGGATCTTGGGATCTCAGAGGAGGAGCGAGAGCTCAGCAAGGAGGCTGAGGCCTGAGAGCTGGGTGGCAAGAGGCAGGCACCTGTTCCAGGGAGAGGCCTGGCAGGGCCTGTGTCCTGCCCCATTCCCTCTGACCGCCTTGAAGCCCCTTCCCAGGTGACCCTGGTTTCTTCCTCCTGGCTCTGGAGACAGGGCTGTCCCTGGGCAGCGGCAATGGGAAAAGGCAGTTTGGTTTTTTTGTTTTCCAGACTGAGTCAGTGTGCTCTCTCCGGGGGGAGGGTCCTCACTGGCTGGGGACACAGAGTCCCAGTCCTTGCCCAGGCTCCCGCCCCCCGCAGGCTGAGTGGGCCCTGACATGCTCTGTTCCTGGCCCTGTTTCAGGTACTTTGCAAGACATCACCATGTCCCAGCAGACACCCCCCACCTGGAAGGACACATGGCTCCTGTCGGTGATGCCCACAGCTCCAGAGCCCAGTGGCAGGGAAGCCACCGCCGTCTCCACCCCCGTCCTGCCGGCTGGAGAGAGGCAGGAGGAGGGAGAGGTGGCTGTGGTGGCGGAGGCCAGGCCTGACAGCACTGCCCGGGAGAAGGAGGTGAACCCCGAGCCCAGGGAGCCCACACAGCTCCCCACCACCAAGAGGGCCTCAATGGCTGGAGCCACCACGGCCCAGGTGGCTGCCACCTCCCATCCCTCCAGGGACATGTACCCTGGCCAAGCCGAGACCACAGCTCCCGCAGTAACTGGCCAGCCTGACGGTCACACGTCTGGCGTGGAGGACGCAGGTCCTTCTGCCACTGAGAGTACTACCGAGGATGGACCCGCCCATCAACCGTCAGCAGGAGAGGGTTCCGGGGAGCAGGTGAGTGGTCTCAGTGCGTGGCACGGGGCCCTCAGCATCCTGTGTCCTGTGAGCACGTTGTGTCCCTCCTCAGAATCCTCTGCCTTACCCAAGGCAGGATGACTCATTAGAAGGTCAGAGCGTGAGCCCTCGGAGGTCTCCGAAAGAGGACTTCCCAAATAAGTCTGTTTTTGCAGAAGTGTGCATGTGCGTGCTTTGTGTCACTTTTAGCTGCCCTGGTGCAGCCAGGATGCAGTGTGGTGAGGGAAGCAGGGCCAGGCCTCCATCCTCGAGGGAGGCTGGGGTGCATCTGGATCGGTGGCAGCAGAGACCACACAGGTGGGGCCTGCTTCTGGGTGGGAAATGCAGCTGGACACCACTGTGGCAGTGGCCCCAGCCCAGCCTGGTGTCCTCCCCCCAGGACTTCACCTTTGACATACCCGGAGAGAACGTGGCTGTGGCTGCAGTGGAGCCTGACAACCGGAGCGAATCCCCCGTGGATCAGGGGGCCTCACAAGGCCTCCTGGACAGGAAGGAGGTGCTGGGAGGTGAGTAGGAGGAGACTGGACTGGGGGTTGGCCATCCTCAGCCACTGCCCATGCTGCCCAGCCCCGGTGGAGGAGGGACTATGTTTGACCCTGGGGCACTGTGAGCTGAGCGGGCCTTTGTTTGCCTGCCCTAGGGGTCATTGCCGGAGGCCTCGTGGGACTCCTCTTCGCTGTGTTCCTGGTGGGTTTCATGCTGTACCGGATGAAGAAGAAGGATGAGGGCAGCTACTCCTTGGAAGAGCCCAAGCAAGCCAATGGTGGTGCCTACCAGAAGCCTACCAAGCAGGAGGAGTTCTACGCCTGAGGACCGGCGACTCTCCCCCGCCCCTGCCACTCACTAGGCCCCCACTTGCCTCTTCACGAAGAACTGCAGGCCCTGGCCTCTCTGCCTCCATGCCACCTCGCTGGCACCAGGCCTTCTGGATGCTCCTGCCCGGGGTGTGCTAGGAGCTCACTCTGCTTCTCTAATCTCCACCTGGAGGTTTGGGTGCAAGGGTTTCTCGCCTGTGACCTTTCCACAGCTATACCTGGCATGTCACCATTCTGACTCAGCTTCTCCAAATTGGAGCAGCCCCACCCAGACCCAGCCATGGTGAAAAAGGGGACCCCACTGCTTTGGACCTGGATGGCCTGCTGTGGCTGAGGATCCTGGGGAGGGTGACTCGGCTGACCCCGTAGCACTTACTGTACAGACAGCAGGCTGGGGCTAGGGCCGCTGTGGCGGAGAGGGGTTCACTTTTTGCTAGGGCCGCCGTGGCGGAGAGGGGTTCACGCTCCATCAGAATTCACTAGGGGAGGTCTCACCTAGATACCAACTTGTTTTTGCACATGTTTCTGCTAGTTTCTCTATTCGTAGGCCCAGTAGACTTCATTACTCCCCAGGTAAGTTAAGCCGGTTAATTTGGTGTCCCCCACATTGCTACTCTAATCTACGTTCAGGAGAGAGCATCAGGGTTAAGAAGACAGTTTATGTTTTTGTTTTAATGAGGAGAACCAAGTCTGAAAGCCAAGCACAGGGTTATTGTGTGTGTTGTCTCTGAGTTCATTGCTCATATATACAGCAGGGTATGGACAATCTGTTTGGTGGCCCCGTTGCTGCTGGCCTGTTGGTGGGCTGGCTGGTCCGGGCACTGGGGGGCAGCCACCTCTTGAGCAGTCCTGCCTGTGTTCCTTGGACTCAGGGCTACAGTGTGGCCCAGGTCACTGTGACGTTGGAGGAGCTGATGAGTGAATCTAACCCTGGCCCTCAGGCTAGGCTAGAGGAGAGAGGACTGGGGTGGGTGGAGGGTGGCAGCAATGCCAGGTGCTGCCCTGCTTTTGGCATCGTCTCTAGGGACACTTTCTCCTGGAAGCTGACAAGAGGTGTCAGGCACAACTGCCACTGGCTCCTCCATCAAGAATCAAGTTCTCCTTTGGCTCCTGCAGCTGCTGCCTGGGCTGGAGTCAGGAATGTTTCCCAAAGAGTGATAGTCTTTTGCTTTTAGCAAAACTCTACTTAATCCAATGGGTTTTTCCCTGTACAGTAGATTTTCCAAATGTAATAAACTTTAATATAAAGGAGTCCTGTGAACTCTGCTGCCTTGCTCCTTCTCTGGGCTGCGGTGTGGACGTGTCCAGCCTTTTTCTGAACACTGGTATCTTGGGAAAGGTTGGCTAGAGGTTTTGTGCCTTTGCTTCTCTGGAGGGGGTGGATTCTGGGTCCAGAGTCCCTCTGGTTGATCTGATTTTGTTTTGTCTTGTCTAACATTTTTCTGGAGTCACGTCCAGGCTTTGTAAGGCCTGTCTGAGGCCAGGCTATCCAAGTGGGACTCTGCAGGCAGCCTGAGTGGAGGCTGCGGCCCAGTGGGTGTGCAGCTAGAGCTGTGGACAGCCCCCCTCCCACGCCTTCGCGGACCAGAGGCCCTCCCTTGGGCCCTGCGACTTCCTGTCCTCGCTTATTTAACTCGACAGTGTTCTGGCTGCTCCTAGAGGTGAGCTGTCTGAGGCTCAGAGACCACCGCCAAACTGAGGGATGCGGCACCCTGCACTTGGTCCTGGACTCTGCTGGAGCGTTTGACTGCGCGTGACCTGGGGGGTAGCCCTTTGCCAGTGTGGGATGCTGCCTGAGCCCGGGCTGGGCCCATCCATGTGACTGCAATAAACGGTACTTGTCCTTGTGGACAGCAGATGCTCTGGTGGTGGTGGAGTCTCTTTGGCCTGGTGGTGTCCTACTTTGTCTCCTTCCTGGGATGGGTGGTGGCCTCATGTGGAGTAGTGAGATCAGCACAGATCCCTCCTGCAGTGGGAGACTGAGCCCATCTCTGCACTCCTCATCCAAGCCGGGCGCAGACCTCCCCGCTTCGCCTTGTCATCCCCCTCTCCAGGCCCTGAGCAGCCTCAGACTGCTGGCTGTCAGAGTTTGCTGTCTGTTCAGTTTGCTCGTTATGCAACCTGAAACAAAACTTAGTAGCCAACAGTCCTGAGTGCCAAAGGCCTAGAAGTATTGTCTGTATATTATAGACCAAGGACAGTAGAAATTTGGTGGTTGAAGTGCAGGGCACTGAGGGACCCTCCCTATTCTGGGGATCCAGCTGCCTCCCTGAGTCCCTGCACTTTCTGGCTCTGGATGCAGGGCGGCCCTGGCCCTGGGTCCCAGGTCTGTCCTGGACAGTGCAGACTGGGAGGAACCATTCCTTCTTGGCTACCTGCTGCTGGGGCAGGGTCTGCACCTCCAGGTGGTGAGCAGGGTGGAAAATCCTAGTGTCCTCCAATACACTCCTGAGAGTTTGGAAGCTAAGACAAAGTTCTCCAAGTCATTGTTCATCCAGCAAACATGGAAGGCAGCACTTCCTGCCAGGCCGTGGGTTGGATGGTGAGAGCACAGAGGCTTGGCTGCCCAGATATTGAATAATTTTATTAATGTCCTTTCCACGTAGGACTTGCAAGTTTCCAAAACCCCAGCCCCTTCTGTCCCCTGTGTCCTATCCACGTAGGTTAGACTACCTCCTTCCCACTGCTTTGTCCTGCCCTCTCCTGCACAGTCCTCTGGGTCTGTTTTCGCTGGGGTCCTGTGACGACAGCATCATGCCCTAGAACAGACTTTGCTCACTGAGAAACTGAAGTCTGAAGTTCCTTGGGCAGTCCTGTCTCGGGCAGTCTGTGCCTGTTTCTTCAGCCTCCACTTGCCTCTTGCCCCTTTCCTTTCTCCATCCCCACTCTCCCACAACTCTTTCCCACTTTCTTCTTCCTCGCCTTTAGCTCTCAGATCGGCTGCAAGGCCTGCGTGTGCACATCTGTACATTGCATAGGAACAGGGGACTCACAGAAATTCCCAGTCTTTCATATCACAGTGTTTTCTAAACTAATGAGCTACCTTCTCTTAGATGGATTGTGCCACATCCTGAATTTGCAGCTGGGTTTTATGTTTAAATTGCCTCTGGGGTTTGGCTTTGGACAAGTTGAAACATCCAAAATAAAGATGCTGGAGCTCTATTTTGCCTGCTCCCAGGAGGTTGTGGCCTCTGGAGACAGACAGCTCTGACGGCGGTGTTGACATGTTCCACCTGGGCTGGTTGGGGGCTGGGGGAAGCAAGGGAAGCACTGAACCCAGCTCAGCATCTGGATGGCCGATGTGGCCCTTGGACCAGGTCTGGAAGGGCAAAGTGAAACTGCCTTCCAACATGAAAGGGAAGGCCACCCTCGGTCAAGGTGGGGCTCCAGAGGCCCACGCTGGTTATGACAGGCCAGCAGGTGTGAGGAGAGGCCAAGGCCATGCAGCAAGAGCTGGTGACACAGTGCGGGAGGCAGGGACAAGGTCCAGCAATGGTAAGGGGCCAGGAGGATGACAGGGAGAAGCAGGATTTTGCCAAGCAATCTTCTGTGCCTCCATGGTGTACCTGACTGGGGAGACGGTGCCCGTGATGAGGCTGAAGATTCCCAGCAGGAGAAAGGACAACAGCCAAGCTGGGCCTTAAGATGGGCAACTTCCTGCCCCTTGGGTTGGACATGGATGGGCTCCTGGGAGAAAAGGCTTCTGCACGTGGGTCCAGTGGTCCCCAGTGCGGAGGAGTCCCACGATTGCCAGGATCGCTCCAGGGTCTGCCTCAAACTCACAGGTACCTTCTCTCCTCCTAGGCAGACGAGAGGAGCTGGGTTGCCCTGTCGGGGAGGGGTGTGCTGGTCTCTAGAGTCAAATAAGCAGGAGCTACAGGGGTCCCAAGCCAGGGAAATAGAGTCCCATGGAAACTGCCTTGGGCCTGAAACCACGGAACCATGAGAGGTGGGACCTGCCAGCTCTGCCCGTGGCACGGCCCCACTCGCCACCCCCAGCTCCCCGCCGCTGCCACACCCCACCTCCTGTACCTACCCGAAGGTCACGCCCACCTGTATGGCTGTCACCGTGAGTGCAAGGAGGGGGCTGTGTGCCCAGGTCAAGGTGGGATGAGTCTTCTGTCCCATCTCCCTTCTAGGGCACACCTCTTGGGCATCTCTTGCCCCTTACTACAGCCACCTATGTCCACAGTGGCTTCTGGCTGCTTCTTGAGGCCAGGGGCCAGCACACAGGGCTTTCTACGAAAGTGGGGAGTCTCTGCCTGTGGGTGCCCATCTGTCTGAGCTGCTATCCTGGCTTGAAAGTCCAAGAACCCCTAGAAACCTATGAACAACACATGGCACCCTCTCCCCACCAGAATGGCTACAATTGGAATGGACAGTGTGGCCCCAAAGGCAGGCAGCCCAGGGTTGAAGCCCATCTGAGTGCTTGCAGGTGGTGTGGCTGCGACGAAATCTTCACCTCCTCTGTGAGCTAAGTAAAATAGGAACTGTGTCTGCCAGCAGGTGTCTACAGGAACATTCACAGCAGCTCTGGTCACCAGCGTCTAGATGAGGCAGCAGGTCCAGCAACAGAAGAGATAAATTGTGGCATAGTCCCACAGTGAAATACTATGCAGCAATAAAAAGAGACAAAGGTTGGATGCATGGGCAACACAGATGAACATCCCAGGCCATGCATTAAATGCAAGAGGCCAGACACAAAAGAGCCCATGCTGCATGTCCCATCTATGAAGTTGTGAAGCAGGCAGAGCTCATTGGTGCTAATAGAAGCCAGTGGACACCTCTGGCCCAGGGTGCAGTATTGACAGAGTAGGGATACAAATGAACTTTCCAGGGTGCCGGAAGTATGCTCTGGCTTGATGTAGGTGGTGACTGCAAGGGTGAGTATGTATGCAAACAAACCATCAAGCCATACGTGCAGGAGTGTACTCTGTCTATTATTCTGTGATAGGAAAGTTAGAGGGAAACAGTACACTTGTAAAAGGGCTTCTGAGATTCTAATTAGTCCCTTTAAGCCCCACGGGAAGTTTTGTGGCAGAAGCAAGGGAGGCCCACATGGCCCACGTTTGTCTCAGGATCCCAGTGGATTCTAATTTACGCGCAGCGAGGCTCAGGGCAAAAGAGTCACAGCTGTGCTCTGAGCAGTGCCTCCCAGCTTCTGGCATGGGCCTGGTGGGTATGCAGAGCAGCCCCCTCCTCAGACGCCAGCAGGGTGGGCACTGTCTCAGGGCAGCCCAGTGCCCTCCTCCCTTGTGGCGGCTGCCGCTCCTCCTCGGTTCCTGGAACCTGCCCTGCCCAGCAGCCCTTTCCAGCACCTCAGTCTGGGAGCCGCCGTTCCTCCACTCCAGGAAAATATTTGTTCAGGGACTTGGCATCTGCAAAAGAGGAAATAAAAGCCACCTTGGAGTTGAGCGGGCGGCACTGTGGCTCACTGCTTTGTCGGCCCCTCTAAGCTGCCTCAGCTCGGCTGGTGTCTGGGGCGAGGTGCGGCTTTGGGGATAGGCATGGGGTGTCAGCTCATGGTCCATTCTGTTCTCAGTCATGTGCCGTCTCAGCTGGCAAACACTTACACCTACTGTGTGCTGGTCACACACAAGCCCTGCACACTGCAGTAGCCCTGGCCCTACTTCCCAGGGGTGGAGAGGTCGGGACAGTGCGGGAGGGTCAGTGGGCCGAGGCGAAGCTCGGGTCCCAGGAACCAGTGGGCAGGGGATGAGCGGAGCGACACTGGAGGAAGAGGAAGGTTAAGTCCAGGGCAGTGGGGGGTGGGGGTTCCCGGCACGAGCACAGGCAGCACCCCAGGACTCTGGTGTGGAAAGTCGATGGGACCAGGAGCCCGGAGAGAGACTGGAGAGAAAGCAGTTTCGAGTGCCTGGAGCCTGCCAGGGCAGTGGCTCAGGAGCTCGGACTTTATCCCCAGGGTGGAGAAGGTGTGTGTTTGTTTTGAAACATTCAAACATACTGACTTTGGCTCTTGTTAATATAGAAAAATATAAGGAAGAAAGTCAAATTTGCCACAAATCCCTCTACCCAAATGTTTCCTGATGACATTTTAAAAATTCAAAGACTCATTCATGTGCACGTGATTAGAAATCCAAGCAACACAGAAGAGTACAAAATGAGAGCAAAATCCTCTTCCCCACCTGCTTCTCCAGCCAAAGGCAACTCTACTTAACAGGTTTTCAGCAGAGGTTTTCAGAAAGTGTCTCCGTGTATATACCTGTGAAGATAAGCCTGTGCTTTACAAACCTCAGGCTGGGCACAGTGGCACACGCAGTGATCGCACCAGGTCAAGGCCAGCCTGGGCTAGCAATGTAGCACATGGTGGAGTGCCTCTGAGTTCCATCCCAAGTACCACAAAACAATGGACGGGTCTCTACACAGAGCTATGTGGCAGCTTCTGACCCGGTTCATCTGGGGAGTGTGGTCAGCTCTGCTCTGTGCTTGAAAGGCTGTGCACACTTAGCAATGCGGATGGATGGTCTCTGACCTACATTTTCCTCGAGGTGGGCATCTCAGGTCCAGTTGTTTGCTGTCATCTGCAGCGCAGAACTCACCCTGCTGAGCTCTCGTGGACAGGTGCACAGACCTTCGGGCGAGGAGAAGGAAGGAAAGGGATGCTCTTCTCAGTCATCTTCCACAGCTTCACCAATTTCCTACCCTGCCACATGCCCAGAGGCCACTGCCTTACCCGGCAGCACACCTGGTGTTTGCGAGATCTTCTCGTTTCATGTGGGCTGTCGGATGGAGATGGCATCGTTCAGTTGTATTGATTTTTATTTATTTGGTTGCGAATGAAGTTAGGAATATTTTCCTAGGTTTTCACTATTTTTTCCAGGGGAATGGCCTTTTCAC